TTTTTTTTTTTTTTTTTTTTTTTTTTTTTTTTTTGATTGGACTTGACAGTAAACTTTGGACCGTGTTTGGAATTTCTTTTTAATTGCCTAACAGTACTAAAGAGGCAGAATTTTTTTTTTTTTTTTTGAGAGAGAGAGAGAGAGAAAGAGAGAGCCTCATTTTTTCTTAAAAAAGAAAAAAATTTTTTTGTAGTTGATTTATTAATTTGATTTAGCTGGTAGTAATCGACGTGTTGTAGTTAAATTGCAGCTCTGGCTATTCAGTTAAGCAAATTAAGACAAAAAAAACCGTACGCGTACTTGTATCAGCATTATTACAGGTCTGCAATTGAACTTCCATCATGTAGTTTTTGCCCTTGTGCCTTTTTTCTTCACTTTTTTCAGCGATGTTTGAAAATGATAATTGGCCACAAAAAAGCGACAAAAAAAAGAGAACTAATCTGTTTTTTTGTGTAGTTTCACAACAGTTTTTGGCTTCTTGATATATTTGTTCTTTTTTTTCTTTGCTCTTCCACTCTCCCTGGTTTTTCTCCTTTCTCCTCATCTTCATGCTTGTGCATTATTGTAGTGAAAAAAAGATCAATTTTGAACGATGTTCGAGTATTTTGATGAAAAATCACATGACTATAACGCATGTTTTTCGCTCATAATAAACGTTATACAATGCTTTGTTGTTGCAACCAGATATGAACAGCGAGGTACACGTACAGCAACCACTCACAGTCCAATACAGCGAATACGCACTGTGCAGTGTTTAGACACTGCGATAGTTCTTCAAATAACCAGTAAACCTAGAAGCCAAAAGGGAATCAGAGGAAGAAAAAAGAAGAAACTGCTTTTGCACGAAAACTAGAAGAAGTTAAAAAGTGCCAACCATCTGAAATAATTTTTCATGTTTTTAGTTTTTATTTTTTTTCTCGGCGGCTTATGCTCCTATAATGTTTTGATTTAATTAGCAACGTTTCTGATCTGTTTATCTCGTACTTGATGCTTTGTTTTTACCCGAATATGATATTAGATAGCTAGAGACCAATAAAAAATGCCTTTATTTGCTTTTTCTAATAGTCTATGGTTAGGACACACAACGGACCTCGCAAAATTCGATTTCATCTTCGTGCTATCGCTTCTCCGTCAGCTGCTTTTTCCTCAGCAAAAAGGTGATTTTATTATAAAAAGTGGTTTTTTTGAACTGCGGAGCAGCAAAAAAAACGGTAGTTACAAAGAAACCTCAGGTTACTTTGAAAGTTCTTCGGCCTTCACAAACAATTTACAGTTATGCTATTGCTTCTCGGTTTCTCGGTTTTCAGTGTTAACAAATCTGTGCAAGAGTCTTGATTTTGTCCTGCTTTTTTGTATCGACTATAAATGTTGCATTGAGAGGTGTTAAGGCTTATTCCACTCATAGACAGACGTTGGTAGAGGCAATATATATTACATTCTGAAAAACTCCAAAGGATGCAGAAAATTAAAGCTTTTAATGCATTCTCTTCTTTTCTGTCGACTATTAGTTCCTTGTTAGTGGGGGCGGTGTATCAGTGGTCTGCTTGCTATCAGGTCATTTGAGACTAAAAGTTTTAACCGTAATGAGCCGAATTTTTGTCGTAAATTCGTTGCTGTTCAATTGCGAAATGTTTTAGCTGCTTCTGAATCGTTCTCGGAAGATCTCGGGCGAACTGAATTAAAAAAACCAGCGTAAGCTAGTTACAGATTTTGTCGTTATCTTACATATCAAAAAAATTATGAACACTTTCAAGAAGTTAATACGTATCGGCTTCTTTTTGTAGATTGCTAAATGCTGCAGAACTTTCCGCAGCTTTAACAATATGGGCAAAGAAATCATTACTTTTAATTGTTCGGACGAATCAACTCGTGTTAGGTATCTAAGCGCTTTCTTGGCTGGTGTTGAAAGCGAGCGATAAAGTGCGAGGTGCTCTCGAATTCGGGCTCGGTTCTTTTTTTTGGTAGCGTACGCATTATATTCTAATAATTGTTGACTTGTCAGCAGTGATACTGCTAATCGATGAATCTGAAAATATGTCAGCAGTGTGGACATTTGAAAAAAGATTGATGCAATGTAATAGTCTTGAAAGAAACATATTCTTTAATGTCACTTCACTTTTGAAAACTGTCTACTTATATTTTATGTTTAAGATTTTTATCAAGGTTTAGACAAACTTCCTTCATCAGAATTTAACAGGAAAATTTTCTTTAGTTATCTAAATAGGCTTCAGTAGCAATTTGAGTCATTGCTGACGTAATGAACAGGTTTCGTTTTTTTCATTATACATTATAAATGGTTTTTTATGGTAGCAAATGTAGCTGAACTGTAGCAGCAGAACGACCTTTTCGTCACGTAAACTTTCGGATGCTATATTATCGTCGTTCCAAACGTTTACGAATTCTTCAGCAACAGCTGCGGTTGCATTTTTAAGGAAACTAATAGTATTATATTTTGAGCTGGTATTCCTCTAAAAGAATAAGTTTGTGCACAAAAACCTTTTATTTATTTCTTAAAATATTTTACTCACAAAATCTATGATACCGATTTATTTGCATTACATAGAGTAAGATTAATGGTGCAATCTTTTAGGTCGTTGAACTTGTTTCAGCTGTAGTAGCAGAAATATATTAGCAAAAACTGTCCTAATGAATATTCTAGAAAACAATTGATTTCTCGTTACTGCTATTTTAAATGTTTTCCAAATGGTAACATTGTTAAAAACAACAAACACTAGGTGAGTTATTTGCTGTAGTCCAAAAATGATACTTCTATTTGCAAAAACAACAGAGATATTTAACACTCTCACTCTCATTTTTGCTTTATCTGATGACGGTTGTCGATATCAATTGTAATTGTTAGTACGACAAACGAAAACGGCACACTGTTAGTTGGTCTTTTTAAGAAGTTTCTTTCAGTGTACTGAAAGACTTATTCATTATAAAAACTAAGACTGTTATGCATTTTGCTATTTAAAACTGACGATTCTTTATTACACATTTTTGTCATTTTTGATGTACATTTAATGAAACATACTCTTTGACCGATTTCTGCAAGCAGATAGCTGAAATAACTAAGCATCTGTCAAGATTTATGCAAAAACAGTTTCTTTTTTCAGAGAAACTTTCTAATTGTAAAAGTCCAATTATAAACATATGAAAGTTTTTCAGGCTCATTTTTTATTTTTTACGAATATGTTAGTGAATTAAAATTGACTTTATTGATTTTATGCCACAAAAAAGCACATTTTACATTTCAGCTAGGGAACGTCGGCATTGTCTTTAAGAGATAAATCAGCAAAAAATTCTTTAGTGTTTTTCAAAGCATGGAACGACATGACAAGAAAGAAACTAATAGAATATATTAAGAAGATTTTGCGATATTTAATTGTTTCTTTTTAAAAAACTTGTACAATGACGAACATTCTAGTTACTCACCTCAATGTCTTGGAAAGAACCATCTTCAGCAAGTGCGATTGTTGGTAATAACAGACGTTTCCGAAAAAAATCTTTTCTGATTTCTGCAAAAAATAAACTGGCATTGAGTCGACAGAAGCACATAAGCCTAAAGTGGTGCAAAAAAAATTTCACTTTAAAGGTGAAATAAAATACCACTTTTAAGAATCAAATGGTCATTCGCATAGTTATCAGAGTCTTTTAAAAAATCTATGATGAACTTCTCAAAAACTTGATTACCAAGTGGAGATGAAGTGGTCATTACTGTAGATGCCTGTTCTACTTTTCCAGATATCATTTGAAACTCCTCTACTGTCGTTCTGTTCTGCTTAAATGTAAGAAGCAGTTCAAAATGAGCACCATTACTTTTCTGATACAAGCTTTAAATTTGACCCGTTACCTTACCGAAGTCAGAGATAATAAAACTAGTCTTCTGAAGAGAGTTATTACTACTGAAAACAAAAAACACTGAACATTATCGAAAATCAGTTGCAGAAAAGAGTTACAGTTTTTAAAATAAAAAAAAAAGATTTTGCTTAACGGAGATTTTCAACCTCAGACTGATAAAACTGAGCGCTTTGCTAAATAAAAAACTATAAGTTACTTCACAGTTATTCTACTAATTTTTTAACGTCAAAAATGTAGACATTTATTCCATTTTAATTAAGTAAAGTTATTATAGGTTCCCAAATTTTTCAAAAGGAAGTTAATCGGTGAACTATGAATGAAAATGAAGCATTGCTTTTTCAGTGCAGAAAGACTGGTTTAATGCACGACGAGAATGCAACAAAAACACTGACTGGATGACGTTTGATTATAATTCTTAAACTTTTTATTACAGATCTGCTAC